ATGCCAAAATGAGGGTCTATGCAAATTTATAAATAAAATATTCTAACAAAAAGATAAATAATATTGTTTTTGAAATCTTAGTATATTGTCAAATTTATTACACACAAAAACATAATTGGCACGACATTGTTTCTAGTTATATTATTGTACATTTTAGTGTGTTCGCATTAATGCTTATGGTTTTACGTTTATTATATTGTGAAATGTGTATTATATTCTAAAAAAAATGATGGTAATTAATATAAATTGTAGAAATCTGTATGTAGTCATATAATTATTATTTGCTATCCGTTATGAAAAAAAAAATATAAAAATGAAGAAAAGCAAATGAAATTCATTCTCTATGGATAAAAGTCGAGATAGCCAAGAAGATAATTGCATGCGATTTCTTTAATTAAAAAAGTGATACGAAAATAATGTATGTAGAATTGCAATAATGAAATCTGAATGAAATTTCTCCTCGGCAGCGGCACTAAATTGTCGGTTGAAAAGTGGAGAGAAACAGTAATAGGTTTCGTGATGCAGTCAATTAGAAACGTTTTGTGCATTTATTTTGTAGACAAATCTGTCTGCGCCGCGAAATTGCCACACGAGTATATCCTTCTCCTTCATTTGTATATTATTATTCATAAATAAACAATGCATGAGAGATGTTCAACAATTTACTCTATGCAAAAAAAAAAGAAGAGAAATACATATATTTTGTGGAAAAGTCTTTGCTTGCAGCACAATGGCCTTCTTTCCCTCTTTCTTCCTCCAACAAGGATCGAATGCAGATTGTCGAGTGAGATACTATAAGGCAGCAATTACGACGTACAAACGCCTCTCTCGTTCCTTTTAATATTACTTTTTTTCTTCTTCTTCTACTGGACAACAATATGTGGGACTTTTTTTTCATAATTTCGTTTACGAATCCCGGTATGAAATCATATCGGCTCGAATGGATGGCCCAACACCTATGTTGTATGTGCTTCGGGTCTCAAGAGTTTTGCAACGAACAGAAAACAGTTTTATTTTTATATTTCTTCGGTTCGTGTAAATCATACGCAAATATCCTTGATCGCTCTCTTGCCGTATAAATAAACCAAGTTTTCGTGTAATTGCTTCGTGCACAACTAAATCGTTTCGATTGCGCAATCGGTTTTTAGCTGGGTGGAAAGGTTTCGGGGAATAATGCGTGCATGACCTTGTCAGCCTTTCAACATTGGAATACAGATTAATGTATGCTTTTTGTTTAGAATAAATCAAGTTGAGAGTTCCACTTTCTTTTGTAACACACTCCAAGCTGATCAATGTTTCTATTCTTTAATTAACTTCACATTCTAAATTACTTGACCGAAAAAATAGAAATTCGAATTAATTTGCTTTATTGAAATGTATGCAACGCCGTTCGGGTTTTATAAACCATTGTATAAATTCGATTGACGTAATTTATTCACGGCATAAAAGGGAAATTTCGATCGGATTTTGAATGACTTTTCAATGAACTACTTCACATACTCGATACTTAAAAGTAAACAAAAAAAAAGTCAAAATAAAATATTCAAAATATTGCATCTGAATCTTAAACAGGCTGTGTTCTATTTTTTTAATAACTTGAAAAATGAAGCCTAGTTTTTAAAAAATAATTGCTACATTTTTTCCATTTATAATAACAATTAGCTGGAAACCTATAGAAATATATGTTTTAATTTAATTGATAAAACAACAGCTGCAGATAATTGATTAGAAAAATGAGGATTTTTAATAATATTCTGAAAAAATATCTAGATATCTTGATATGATTTTTGTTTTTATATTTTGTCATTAAATTAATAAAACTTCATAAAAACTGTTTACAATTAGATCTATGTACATTTTATAAGAAACTTTGTCATCAGTAATAGTAATATTTCTTATCACCATAATTTAAAACATGTAACTTTCTAGCCTGAATTGCACATCACATCAGTAACTTATAGAAATAGTTTAGGCATTGCCAGTTTTATTTCATTCGTTATTTCCATATATAAAATTTCCTAATAAAAAATTCAAATATTTGGTATTAATATTTTGAATTTAAATTTATTTTTCATACAATATTTTTATTCCTTTTATAAAATTTAACGGAATTTATCTATAGAAATATTTATCTCTTAAACATTAAAAAAAATAGTTATTTTTAGTTACAATAAAAACTAATGAAATTTAACGCATTTCAATTTACTAGTAATTATACCTAATTATCATAATGATAAAAATGTAGATGTAATTATTCTAATTGGAAAATACGTCTTTAACTGTTTCAAACAACGTGAAATGCATTTTGAAACCAAACTAGCATTAAAACATAATTCATTCTCCCAGTTTTCACGGTTAATTAGTTACGAAAATACGTTGCATAAATTAAAACCGATCTGAGAAATACGAACTATTTATGCAAAGCGGAATTCGATTTCGAAACACAAACGAGAATGCCATTCTTGCTTTCTGCATTTCAATATTCATTCGTATAAATAATTTATTCGCAACTTGTTTAACATCAATTATTTTTTTTAGTTGACTTCAATTATTATGTACAACAGATCTACTTTCCGTATACAATTATTTGCAATTTGTTACAATTTACTATTTTTTTCTCTGAAATTGCTGACTAGAAATTAATTCAATTATATTATTACTGCGAAATTTACTTTCATTTTTCACTTTGATGTATGTAATTGAACCTTTTTTATAATATCCAATGATTTTTTCTTATTTAAAAACTAATTCTATTAAATATTTGTAAAGCTTAAAATACTTTTTTTCACAATTTATGATTCTATTGAAAATCGTTTAAACAATTTATTATTTGAAGGGAAACGAATTGACAATACCAAAAAAAAATATTATTTTTTTTGATAAAAGTTTATTTTCTTACTTTCAGAAATAATTTGTAATATAATAATATAGAAAGTTTATTCATCATATCAATTATTCAAATATTTTGTTGTACTTATTATTGTCTTGTCTAATGATTAATCGGACTGCTTTAGAAATGATTTAAATAGAATTTATGTATTTACCCTCAATTGAGAAATTTGAGTAAAATCCGATTTCAAATTTTCAATTATATTTTGAATATTGAAAATTTTAAAACGTTTATTGTATAACTTAAAAAATGTTTTATTAATTCAAATATATTTAAGTTTTTTTTATTAATGTTCAAAAAATAACAATTTTGAAGTAACATAAAAAATATTTCATTTCATTCAAATAATTTGTTCAAGTGTAATTTACTTTATGTTTTTCATTGCATAAAAGAAAGTATGAAAAGAATGTGTTACATATTATATTTATTTGAAAAAAACGTTGAAATAGCGGAACATTTCATATTGATATAATCTTGCATATTTCAACTAGGTGTTTGTACTTTTGCTCTCTATAACAGACGGCTTTAGAAAATGAAAGTTCTGAATGGCATTTCGCTAACATTATGATTTCGATGAACCAAATGGGGAGGAAGCAATAATATTAGCCAGTTCCGGTAAGCGAATCAAGGAAGCATTAATATTCTTCTAAGCAAAGTTTCTATCATTAAATCTTTTGTATTAATTAAGAAAAATCTATATTTTATAAAAGAAATAATTTCCATATTCAGTGAAAAAAAAGTCACTTATCTTTATAACTAGTATCTTATTAGTAATAATTTGTATATTAATATAATATTCATAATTTTTGTTTCTTTTATCTAAGCTTTTTTATCTGAAGTATTGATATAAAATATACCATAATCTATAGCCTATAATATATATAATAAAGCCTTCTTTTACAAATTTAGAAAAAATCCAACGACTTCCAATAATTTCAGAATAATATTAAGGAAGTAGAAGCAGGAAACACCTAAATTTATTATTAGGATTTAAAAATCAGTATTAGTATTTAATAACTAAGAAACTATATTGTATTGAATAAATATATTATTAGAATTGTAGAAATTAAATAATGTTCTTTTTACGAGAAAAACATTGCAATTATTTACTGAATCAATTTAGTACCGACTATAAAAAATCAACGGTTTTTTTTCATAACATAACTCTTGTAATTAATCACATAAAAGACTGTTGAAACAAAAAAATATTGATGCAATTTAGATTATTAATTCTTTATAATTTATTGAAAAAACAACATATCATGAGATTATTATTATATGAAAATAAAACTGAGTTCAGTTAAATAAATCGATGTGAAGGTTGATTATTGGACTAATTCTTCAACACAAGGTCTAGGTAATTATTATTTTAAATAAAGATTTATATATTGTCCAATTTTTTTAGTATTTTTAGTGAATATTTAAATATAATACATTGTAATTTTAATTATATAAATAAATAATATGCAGGTAATTCTTTAACCGGAAAAGGAAGCAACCTAAGCTTCAATTAATCTCCTGAATAATTAGAATGTATTACGTAATAAAATGAGTCAGGGAATCTGTAGCACCTTCGAAAACAATATCGCAAAATGAGGTAGTTAATATAAAAAAACTTGCATCCTGTTAGCATTTTCACTCCAAAAAATGTGAACCATTTATAAATTATGTTTTTCGTGGCAGTAATATGCAAATCTCTTTTTATTGCAATAATTTATGTTGTTCTTTCTGCTGATCTTGTATGTTATTGTATTGTTGCGTTGATGCAATCGCTGAAAAGTTAAATTGCTTAATCGAATGAAATCGCCGTTCGAATTAGGCGCTGCGATATGATCGAAAGACAATGGGATTCTGGGCCAGATTGGCAAACTTTTCGAATTGATATTCAATGCCGGGTCGAATCCGTTTTACAACTCCAAATATATAAATATGTGTGTGCGTGTATGAGTATGGATATGATTGTGTGCGTGTATATATACACACATATTGTTTGGTGAGGTACGCCAGAAGTGAATTCATATAGGGCCCCACTCTGCAGTGTCGACAGGAGTTTGGAAAGTTATAAATGCAGGTGCTCGACTAACTCTGCAGACATTCACGTTAACACGACTGAAGACCCCTCGACGCCGGTTGTCCACATACAAAACAATAAGAACAAATATAAGAGAACGAGAACAGAAACTGAGACTAATCGAGTTCATTTACCAAAAAAAATAAACAAAATAGTGTGGCTTTTGTTTCCTCTTATTGGATAACTTCAAGATGCGTCTTCAAAATTCGGTAAGAATTTTTATATTTACTTCATCAATGTTAATTTTTAGTTATTTTTTTTGAAATGCTGTAATACGATTTTCAAAGTTAATATTTTATATAAAAATAATGCAACTATCAAACATTATAAAATATTTTAAATCAATAATTACATTCTATTAATATTTTTGATAACATTTGTTTATATTTGCATATTTTCATTGATTTTTGTTTCTTATATTTATTCAATATTAGATTAATAATTAATAATTTGGTTATTTATATGATGTATATAGTTTTGTCATTAGATTTGAATATTCATATTTTAATTAGAATATTACATAAGCAGAGAAAAAGGTTATATATTTTTTTAATTAAATATAATATGATGAAAACAGAATGAAATTTGTTCCCCAATAAACAATCTAAGAACATATGACTATTTAAATTAATTATCTTAAGAACACAATAATATAGAAACTGACACAGTATTCAAATATATTTAAAAAAAAAACACAATTTACACATATTAGCACTAATTATTTAGTGAAAGTAATTTATATTATAAATATTATTTCATATAAAATTTAAAAAAATAAATTTTTGAATTATAGTTTTACAAGAGAATTTTTTAATCTACTTGATAGAAAATATCTTGATGAAATCTTAATTTAAAAACAACAGTGATAATTAAAATAATATTAAAAATATTTTTATTTTAATCTGTTATGTTGATAAAAGTATTAAGAGATTTAAAGGATTGTATTTGTCTTATTAATGATGGTTTACTGCCTCGTGATATGTCAACTACTTCAGCAGATACGTTTATGGAAAGCACAATTACCAACAAATACATATAACTTGTCTGAGAATTTTCTAAATATAATTTCTTTATTAATTCATACATTACATTAAATTAATAAAAAATATGCAAAGTAGATTTTATAATTATAATTTCATTATTTATTTATTTATTCCATAAGAAAAAAATATAAATATAATAGTAATTGGTCAAAAATAAATTGAAAAAAACTAAGTACAAATAAGTAATTTATTAAAGCTGTTAAATTAAATTAATTTGAAACCATAAAGTTACAAAATAAAATATTTTAATTATTTGTTCAAGAACATTTTAATTTTATGTATGGTTTGTCGAAACTTAATTACAAAATGAAATTAACCTGAATATGTCTACGTTCGAAAAAAAAATCATTAACATGGAGTGGCATGAACGGATATTTGAGAGCTGACGAAAGTAACTAGCAGTAAATTCAAATAGTGAAGTAATATATTAGTTAATAACAGAATCATAGATTTCAATATATTCTAACTAATGTAATTAGAAAGTAAGATGTAAGTAAAATTGTATCAAATAAAGTCACGTTTCGCGATGATCTTATCAGAAGATTTGTCAAGGGCATTTAGAAAGTAAAAATCAGTAAGTCTGTCAAACGCGGACGCGGAAAATCATTAAAATTTTTGCAATTCCCAACGCGAAAAAATGAATCTTAATTAAATTTTCGAACGGCGTCAGACTCAGATGCAATGAAAAGGATAATCGGTGCGCGCCACTTTCACATCTATTTATTTCTCGCAAAGACCTATTTTCCGTTTTCTGCATTTCCTATATAAAGCAAAAATGCCATTGAGGACCGTTGCGCAACGGCAAATAATCGAGTCTTAGAGATGGAGACGGAAGAAAAAAAAATCGAATGCAGCAATTGTTGCTGATTTATAACGTGTTTCATATTCCATAATATTTGTTATATGTTTATTTGCTATTGATTTTACTGGAACGGGAACGAGATCGTAGCCTTCGGGTAAGTCGTGCTCCTCGAAATTCGGTGCGAAACGAGTTGCGGAAATCGCCCGTTGATAAATCGAATTTACGATTGATCTATGCATAACAATGATTGTACATAATTATAGTAATTCGACCTTAAATCTGTGACTTTTTTTTCTGAGCACTCGTTGAGTAACAATTACGCCGTGTCGGCCCATTTTTTGTCGTTGTTGTTGTTAATGCTGCCGTTGATTCACTCTTGTTTTCTTTGTGATTCATTTAATGATCTATTGTATTTGATGTAAGATTTAATTTCTTTCTACTCTTTTTCTTTCACAAATGCTACTACATCATAATGCAATAATTATCTAACTTACAACTGTTATAATTCCTATTCAACAGTAAATATATAGTATAAAAATTCAAATCTCTATAATCTATAAATATTTCAAGAAAATAATCTCATTTTACTGTATTAATCATAGATAAAATCATAATAAAAACTTATATAATAACCAGCTATATTATGTCAGGCCAAACCAAAGAATATATTGTAAATACAAAATTGAATTAGATTAAACGAAAGTTGTGCAAGAGCATGTATTAACCTTAATTATAGTTACAGATATGCAACAAATTGTAACACCATTGTAAATATATGACTATACTTGCAATATTTTTTTTTGCAATTCATGGAACAAATTGCCGCTTCTGTCTGTAAACGTGAACATTATACTATTACTTTTTTTCTATTTACATAATAATAGACATTTGTTGTTGTTGTATTTTTCTCCGCTTCTCGCTCTCTTTCGCTCTCAAATAATTAAATACATGTAAATAAAATAAGAACTTACTTCATAAGCTCTTACAAAAGACCTTTGTGTAAAGGTCACTAAGGTAATTTTAAATAAAAATTATGTCCAATTTGTTTATCTAATTGGATGCCTACATTAAAAAGGCAAAACAACGCAATTGATTACGTTTCATTAATTCACATAATAGTATGCTTTTAGCAATTTAGTAAATATTCAACTAATACATTTTTACTACAATAAATGGGTGACCAGGTTATCGACCTAAAATTGTGTCTTTCTAAAAACTTTTTTACGTTACCTCACTTAAAAGTTCGGCGTCAATTTAAATGTACTTTAAATAATTTTGCAATCACCTCATGTAGATAGTAGGTTAGATTATAGAACACACGTTCAATATTCTCGGTTCAAATGCAATGATAAAAATACTAGCAAATGACTTTCCAATTCCTACAGTTACAAATGAAAACAGCGTTGAAAATGTTATGTATATATTTAAGTTACTTCGTATAAAAGTTAAGTACTTTGCAATAATTCAAAATAAATGTGTATATCCTATATACATGTTATTGTAATAATAATAATAATTTTTATATATTATGTTTATAATGATTAAAAACAAACATCTGAAACAAATTAGTTCCATGAATTATAATAGTGTTATATTGTTAAAATGTAAAAGAAATTTTTAATTAAAAACTTGACATTAAGTCACCCATTGAGGGTACGGTAAATGAACCTCCTCGGTCTATTCATGAGTTAGTGTAAATCATCGAATAATCAAAATAGGCCTAAGTTTTATTCAATTGCAGACTATTGTTTAAATAATTGTTATTGCATACAATTTCGCGATAATCTTGCCTATGGCAAACGATTTACATTGTTTCATTTAATTCGTTGAAAGGCTATTAATAAATGATAGAAACCTTAGAAGTTTTGATTGAAATTGAATGAACTTTTTTCACCTAAATAGAAAGCAAGAGTAAATTAGGTAACCGTTATGATATAGTATTGAAAGACCATTAATTATTTTTAATAGACAATTTTAAAGGACTTAATTTATTGAATCAATAAGAATATGAAGCAAAAACAACATTTGACGCTTTAATTGTATGTGTTATATTTCATACGCATCTCACAGACTTTCATTTAGTTGAAACCAATCCCATAGTGAAACATATATGTGTCACTGCAACATATTCCATTTTCTCATAAAATAATTACTAAATGAATAGCAGAGGCCTCTTATATAATCAATATTTTCACTTTCATCTGATTTTCGAATTTACGAGTTTACCTATGATGCAAGTGATGTGATATGTTGCTGATATCAATATACGCTTTTTTCTTTAAGCCTATTATAAATTGTATTAACTATTACTATCATGATTGCTTGGATTGGTTACGATCCACTGATTCTGCACAATAGTAATTAACATCATCATAATAAATTGCGTTTAATATAAGTAGTAAGTTGATGAATGAAAAAGTGCAAATAATAATGATTAACGAAAGTGAAATGGATATTGATCTATATAACTGTTCTTCCGGGAAACACACTCTTTCACTCTACAGAACACATATCGCTCTAATTAGAAATATTTGAATTAATCATATGCACAGCTTTTACCACATATTGCATATGTGCATTTCACCTGTCTTTTTTTACTTATAAATATATAATTATTTAATTGAGGATAATGCAACATTCTATTTTTATACAATTATTAATAATAATGGCAATAATTGGCGGTAATGTTTAGTGACCCTTGGATAACCAGTTTTCACATGTTGTCACCTTTCGAAACCGGGACACGGCCTTTCCCGTCTAGTCTAAAAGGGAGGTTAAAGAGTTCTTGACTTGTCAAAATAATATCATTTTCATTGAAAATACAATTTGGAAACTACATTTTATATTTTTTATTTATTTCAAAACAATCACTGAATTTATATTATTAAATTCATTTACAGTAATTATTGTTGTACAACATGATATATGAATAAATCTATAAATATTTGATAATTGGAATCAAATTTAAACATAGATATTAAAAACACACTAATAAATTAAGTTTAATCTATTTGATAATTTAAGAAGAATCTAACAACAATTCTCACAAACATCTTTGAATAAAAATATAAATTTTACACCTTTATATAACTTCAAAAATAACAATAAATTAACTAATTATAGATCATCATATTTATAAATTTATCCACTAAGACTTAATTACTTAATTTTCAATTGATAAGTTTGACCGGAAATATTGTTCTCCTAGCGGTTTTGTAATTACGAAATAAAGTGAATAGAACATATGGTAAATGACCTAAAGCAATTCGAAATGCAGTTATTCGTTAACAAATTACTTCCACTAAATTACATATTTCTTATTTATTTTCTCTAAATCGAATATAAACAACTGTAGTATTTTTTT